TATCATAGAGTGTACTTTTTTTTTTTGATAAGTAGTCATACCCTCTAAAATAACAACAAAAAGTATAGTATTTTCACATAAACCAGTAACAGAATTGTTTATTATCAAGTATGATTTACTGTCCATAATCGAATGTGCAAGACTTTTGTATGACTGGTTTAGTGCAGTAGGTTTGTTCACACCAACATCACCACAAACACATGACTAACGCATTGGCCCGTGACCTTACGACAGCTGTGATGTCGCTAGGTAATTTCTAGGTTTCTTGCGATCTGAGGGGACCGCTGTGGTATATGCAGTCCGTTGTTAACCTAAACGTTCTTATGCAGTACATGACTGCATAAAATAGAGAGACAGTTATAACACAACTGGGAAACACAGATGGGCATTCATGATTATGAGGATGTAAACTGAATGAGCGGGGGTCTAAAGATGCTGTTTCGTATGACTAAGCACGGGGCCCACATCCTCCCACCCCATCTCCAGATGAGATCAGACTGCGTTCCTGACAGCGTATTCCAGGTTCTTCCAACCCTTTGGCGTAATCGAGTGTGTGCATTCCAGTCTCTCTCAGAGCACTTGGGCCTCTCAGTCCACGTGGAGCCCATCTGCTCATTTCTTTGGTTTTCAATACTCTGTTGTCTGCTCTTGATCGTGGCCATCAGTCAGCCTCAGGCTTTCCTTCTGAGGTTAAAGGGTACCAGTCTACACAAGCTCCATGTGTGGGACACTCCCTGGACACAATATGAAGCTGGGTGTTTTCTTTGGCCCCTGTGCCTCACATCTCTCCCTGAAACCCAGTGCCCTCCCTGGCCTCCTGCTCATGGACCTCACTCAGGCCTGTCCTCCCGTACATTTCCTTCTCTCGACCATTACAACTTGCCTTTTCTGAAGCCTGTCTTAAAACGATCCAGCAAATGAACTGATACCAATGGGAAAGTGACTGAAAGGGACTCAACGGAGTTGGGAATCATTGTAATTCTCCTTCCAGGTATTTGCATGTTAACTCTATTTACATGTTAACTGCGATGAGGGGATAATTCTTGTTTTAAGGTTCAGGTCAACCCTGCCAAAAATACTTCCAGTAGAGGAAGAATTTTTTTTAATAGAATATGTTTTTTAATAAGAGACTTTCACATAGCATTTAGGCAGTGAGCTAGTCTTCCCATGTCTGCTATCATTCCCACTTTCAAATTCTGAATTGCAATGGTGGGGTCAGTGGGGTTTTAGTATTCCTTATGTCTGCTGACTGGTCTATGAGGAGGGTTTCAGAATTCTGAAACCGCCTGGTCACTCATGTCCTGAGTGCTGAGGTACTGTTTAGAGGACGCGGCATTCAAATGGAAGGTGAACATTCTGATATCTCCCTGCACGCACCAGCTCTCCCCAGCCTCAATCTTCATTTTAGCTCCGATTAGAACTGACATGTGTGCAGCCTGGCAGGAATGTGTGGCTTCAGGCTTGCTCCCTATTCAGACTGTCCAGGTGGGCCCTCAACTTTTGACTTTTACTGAAGTCCTATCAGAAAGCCCATTTTACCTTCAAGAAGTGAATTCCAGCAAGGTAATGATGTATATATTTAGTTTCTGATTCTGAGTCTTCGAGTGGGGGCAGGGAGGCTGTCTTATGAGCTCCATCTTTAAGATGCTATTCATCTGTTTAGAGATTATAATGATTATAATGAAACCATAAAGAGCTAGACATTCAGAATGGTGCAGAGTGAATTCTAGGGCTAACCGATTACGTACAGCTGAGTTCAACACTGGGGTTGTGCCCCAGTGGGGCACAACCGGGGTGGGTTTCACCCTGGGGGGCACTTGGAAATGTGACTGAGAGCTCTGGAAGCCTTTAGTGGGGGCCAGAGATGGACTTTTAAATGCTGGCACTCGAAAAAGAGAAAAAAATTAATGGGTACGTAGCTGAAAGGGAAAGCTAGAAATGGTACTAATCATTTTTCTCATCCACTCCTAATCCCGAAATAGAAGACATTCAAGGTTTATACACAGTCCTGTGTCTGTGTGTGACTGACAGGAGATGTGTTGTTAATGGCTTCTCCTGATCTGAGAAGGTGCAGCTGCCTGGGCCATCTTTCCCATCCTGGCGAGTGCTAGAGAGGGAGAGTGGGTCTCAGAGTGATTTTTTTTTTTTTTTTTTTTTTTTTGAGACGGAGTTTCGCTCTTGTTACCCAGGCTGGAGTGCAATGGCGCGATCTCGGCTCACTGCAACCTCCGCCTCCTGGGTTCAGGCAATTCTCCTGCCTCAGCCTCCTGAGTTGCTGGGATTACAGGCACGCGCCACCATGCCCAGCTAATTTTTTGTAGTTTTAGTGGAGACGGGGTTTCACCATGTTGACCAGGATGGTCTCGATCTGTTGACCTTGTGATCCACCCGCCTTGGCCTCCCAAAGTGCTGGGATTACAGGCTTGAGCCACCGCGCCCGGCCAGAGTGATGTTTTGATGAGATGGATGGTGGCCAGCTTGAGCCTCTCTGAGCGTGGGTGCGCACCTTTCATGGGCCTGCCACGAACCCCTCCACTCCTCACTCTCACTCTCTCACTCTGAACATTAGGATGGCTTCAGTTTCTAGAAGATAGAAAATCCCTCTGCAGAAAAAGACCTCCCACCTTGGGGTGAAAACCTGCTTTACCTTTCTTTATCCCAGTGCCCAGGTTTAGATAATCACAAACATGTCTTTAAGAGAGCCTCTACATAGTTTCTTAGAAAGTAGCCCTGGGAACCTTCTATATAAATTAGGTAACCTGTGCTCATTTAAAGAATGTTACTAAGGGAGACACTGCAGGTTATTTCAAGCTGTGGTTAACTTTCTGTACGAAATCTGCAGGGAGGAGGCAATGTGTATGACTAGCGTGACAATATACCTTTCTTGGACTGGAGAAAAATACTGGACATAGACCCATCTGCTGCCTCTGCATGGAAGTGGCCTCTGTGGCCCCGGCATCCTCCTGCTGTTGCTGGGTGAGGCATAAATGAGCTGCTGGTGAGATTGCAGACGTGGAGGGGCAAACAAAGACCTTCCCTTTCAATACAAGTCACCAACTCTGCATATTCACCCCATCCACTCCAACAACGCTTTTGAGAGCAAGAACCGCCTTATTTTTGTGTTCACAGAGCCAAGCATGTGCTGCTCCATAGCAGGTGTTCATTGAGTAAATGTTTCCTAAAAAACAAATGAGTGAAGTTGTAGACCAGAGGTTCTCACACTTTAGCCTGTGTCAGATTATCTGAAGGGCTTGTCGATGTACAGATTGCCGGGGCCCACCCTATAGCTTCTGGTTCTGTAGGTCTGGGCTGGGGCCAAATAATTTGCATTTCTAGCAAGTTCCCAGGGAATGTGGATGCTGCTGTTCTGGGAACCCCACTTGAAGAACCATTGTCAGAGATGGCTCTCTCTTGCTAGCGTACAAAAAGCCCCCTATTGAAACAAGGAAGCCACAGGCAGATTGGTGTCTCAGAAAGAACCCTGGACTTGGAATCTCAGGACAGAGATTTGAATCCCAGCTCTGCTGTTTGTGGACTGTGGGACCTTAACACATTCCTAGAGTCTAAACTTTTTGAATTTGTTTCTTCATGGGACCAAGAGCTGCCCTGTTCACCTCACAGGGTTGCTGTGAGTGAAATGAGAATGCACATGTGAAGATCGCTAAACTCAGAGCTGAGATATAAATGTAAAAATCTTTATTGTAGGAATGGTGCTTGATTAAGCTTGCGATTGATATGGGCCCTCATTGCCTTTTATGAGCTGAAAAAGAAAGCTTATAAAAGGATGACAAATATGATAGGGAAACAGGAGGTATACAAGTAAAATAATTAAAGCAGCTTTCCAGATGGGATGTAATGAAGCACTGAATTTTACATGTGTCCCCAGAAGGGCTCTGGAAGTTCAGGGGTGTTTGTAGGTAGGGGTGTGTGTGTGTGTGTGTGTGTGTGTGTGTGTGTGTGTGTGTTAGGAGGGTCATGGAAAGACCAATAAGGAGACTCTTTCTTAGGAGTGGGCTTGAGCTAGGCTTTGAAGGAATGGTTAGGATTTGGACAGATGAGGGCAGAGAGAAATCCCATGGAAGGTGGGCTGGTCCAGAGTGGAGGGTACATCGTGGAGAGAGTGGGACCCAAGATTGTGCACAGGGCACAGGCCTGCAAGGCGAGGAAGAGGAATTCACTGTCACGTGGCACAAAGTAGACTGCTAGGCCTGAGATGATGAAAATGGGCATCTAAGCTCCAGAGGGGCTGGCAGGCAAGAAGCCAGGGAGAAGGCTGTTTTGTTAATGTAGACCCAGGATGAAAGAAGGTCGAGGGTGGGTGTCATGGGAGTGGAGACATAGGGGTGTAAGTGAGTGACCTGCGGGAGAGATGGCTTGAGAAGGGGTATGAACGGATGGTCAGACATGGCTCCAGCTTCCAGGTCTGGATGGCAGGGAGAAGGGTGGCCCCAAGGCAGAGGTGGGGAGGATGGAGAGGGGTGCTCTTGCGTGTGGGGTGCTGAGGGACTTGTGGACAGTAGCTATGATTGGATATTTGATCTGACTGGAGCTTATAAGTGAAAACACTATGAGGACTGTTGGAGAAACAGACCTGAAGTCGGGGTACAGGCCAGGAAAGAGAACCTGTTCACCTGCATCATGTTCCCCTTTTGGCTGTTTTGAGAGAGCCGTGACTACCTGTGATGTATGCCTGGCTGGATCCTTGGTATTTTCAAGCCTAGAGATCTTCCTGCTGGCTCTTCTTTTCTTCTCGGTAGCTAACCCTGGGCTCTCGCCTCCATCTCTTCTCTCCTGCAGGGGATGCTCTTAGTTACCACAATGGATGGAAGTTTACAACTTTTGACAGAGACAATGATATCGCACTTAGCAACTGTGCCCTGACACATCATGGTGGCTGGTGGTATAAGAACTGCCACTTGGCCAACCCCAATGGCAGATATGGGGAGACCAAGCACAGTGAGGTAGGTGACAGGGGAACGTCTTTTCTGTCCCGGGGTGTATCCACGTTCAGCTTCCAAAGGGACACCCTCCAGGCTAGTCTGGAAGCCACTCTCCTTCTGAAGCTTCCAGTCGAAGCAGTAGAGCTTCTCCTCCAGGCTCCAAGACCTTGAGGTCGTGGCCTCCCCTTCCTGATGCCCGTGGCCCTGCTTGTTCTGCATTCCCAGTGCTGCACACTTGCCTGGGGGCAGGGACAGGGAAAGCCTGGCTGCCCACTGCCATGTAATGACAGATGATGTGCACCACACACTGTCTCATTTCACTAGTTCACACACGGACGCTGCCAGCTTGGGCCGCTGTAACAAAATACCAGAGACTAGGTGGCCTAAACAAGAGACTTTTATTTCTCACAGTTCTGGGGGCTGGAAAGTCCAAGATCAGGGTGTCTGCAGATTTGGTTCTTGTTGGGGACTCCCTTGCTGGCGTGTGGATGGCTGACTGTGGCTGGGCATCCTCACATGGTGGACAGAAAGGAGTTCTGGTCTCTTCTTTATACAGGGGCATGTGTCCCATCGTGGAGGCTCCACCTCATGGCCTCATGTAAACCTAATACCCTCCCAGAGGCCCCCTCTATATACCATCATGTTGGTGGGGGGTGGTTAGGCCTTCGCCACATGAGTTTTGAAGAGACACAGACATTCAGTTTATAGCAAACACTTCCTACTTTTTTCTAGTTGTTCTCCTAGTTGAATGAGAGCTATTTCTTGAAGCCAAGCATGGTGGCTCATGCCTGAAATCCCAGCACTCTGGGTGACTTAGTTGCGCTGATTGCTTGCGTCCAGGAATTTGAGACCAACCTGGGTAACATTGTGAAACCCTGTCTCACCATGATTCCCTGCTAATGCAAAAATTAATACAAAAAGTAGCCGGGGATCATGATGTGTACTTAAAGCTCCAGCCTCTAGGAAGGCTGAGGCGGGAAGAGGCTTGAGCCTGGGAGGTTGAAACTGCAGTGAACCATGATCATGCCACTGCCTTCCAGCCTGGGTGGCAGAGTAAGACCCTGTCTAAAAAAAAAAAAAAAAAACGCAATTTGTCTCAAGTCCTTTGATCATCAGGAAAATGGTCTTTTGTGCCTTAGGTCAGATCTACTCTTGGATCTACTTCGCCCAAAGCCTGCCCAGAACATTGCCCTAGACCACGTCGGGAGTGTGCACCCAGGGCCAGGGGTCCAGGAGGGCTCCTCTCCCCACGTTGCTCTGAAAATGTCCCACCTGCTCTTTCTCAAGCCTCCATGCCCCTGCGCATCATCCTGACTCTTTGACAGCTGCAGGGCACTTCCTGCCTGCTCCCTCACAGTTTCTTGAAAATTGCATCTTTGCCTCTGCTCATCATTAATCCTCTCCCCTCCACAAACCCTGAGTCCCCACCCTAGGTTTCTAATTTCCCATCCACAGTCCTGATCCTAAGCCTCCAGGAAGCCTCCTCTTCAGAACTCACCTTGTACCAATATTACTGTAAATATTAGCACATCCAAAGTTCAGGTACATTTTGATTACTTTGGCCCTGACCAGGCTTTGGGGACTCCCAATCCTTATGTGATTTTTCAAAGGGAAGAAGAAATTTTCCTCCAGGGAAGCTGGGGAGGGTGGGCGCATGTATCATGGTGGCCGCGTGTGGGCCGACTCAGGAAAGCCTGGGATAGGAGATCAGACATTGGAAATGAGCAGCCAGCATGCCATGAACCATCCCACGTTCGCTAATAAAAGACATTCATCTGGTTAATGCGCTTTTCACAGTCTGCAAGGCATTTAGCTTCTTGTTTATTATTTACCTCACAAATTAAAATACATAAAATTGGTCACTTGGGCTTTTATTGGCCAGGTTGCAAGGTTATTAAGTGAATTAAATATTATTGCGCTCACCAGTCAAAAGACATAAAACGAAATTTAGTTTTCAGCGGACTATTTGTTACCCCAGAGCTAATATCTAAACAGTCTAAATTGAAAATGATTTTACACAATTGGCCAATTAATATGTTTATTTTTGCCTTTAATTTTTTTGGAAAGGAAAAGAGTGAAGCAAAGATAATTTGCCCATTGCCTGCCCGGTTGACCCCTGTGTTGTCTCGGTGGCTGCTCTCGCCTCACCCACTTCCTGGGCCCACACCCCCACGCTCCCGCCGTGGAGACCACCGGCTTCTGAGTCTTCCAAGTCCTCAGCCCGTCTAACCCCAGCTGTCCAGCAGAGGGCGCATGTGTCCAATCCTGCCCTCCCCTCCCTCCTCATCACCACCTGTCCCTTTCTCTCCCCTAAGCAGAGAGAAAGTGGTTTCAATTATTTACCTATTGGTAAATAATTCCTCTGTGGCCCGGGCGCGGTGGCGCGCGCCTGTAATCCCAGCACTTTGGGAGGCCGATGGGGGAGGATCACGAGGTCAAGAAATCGAGACCA